TCTCTGGGCTCTAAATGGCCCTGTAAGCTGAAGACTCCCAAATACATCACATCAGCTTGGGCATCTCCCATGAACCCCTGAGTCGTTTATCCAGCTGCGGCCTCAGCCTCCCCACGTGCGTGCCCAGCAGCCCTGACACCTGCTCTTCCTGCAGCCGGTTCCAGCCCCAGCCCTTCCCACTGTGCAGTCCAAAAGCCTGGCATCACCCTGGAGGCATCCCTCTCACACCCACATGCAGCCCTTCCACAGGTGTGTAGCCTGTGCCCTCAGACTAGACGCGGAGTGGCAGCATCCCAGCCCCGCTGCTCCCACCCATCTCTCCGCTGGGCTAGTGCAGGGGCCCACGCTGCTCTCCCTGCTCCTCCTCTCAGGGCTTCTCCATCTACTCTCAGCACAGTGGCCAGGCCATCTTGTTGAAATGCAAGTCACACCCTGGCCCTCCGTGCTCAGAGCTCTCTGGTGGCTTTCTGTCGGCTCACAGTGGCCTCAAGCCCTCCTGTCTCCTACAACGATCTAAAGAACGCTCCCCGCCACCTCTCTGACCTCATCCCGGTCACTTCCTTCCTCACTCCACTGCAGTCAGCTGGTCTCCTGGGCACACCCAGCCCCAGGCCCTTTGCACCTGCTGTTCCCTCTGCTTGGAATGCTCTTCCCCGAGTCATTCACGGGGGTTGCCTCCCTCCCTCTCTTCACCTCTGATTAGTGACACCTTCTCCTACTGCCCCTCCCTGCTTCACTTCCCTCCCTAGCACTTCCATCTCAGAGGTTATACTATGCATCTCTCTATTGACCCTGATGGTTACCCATCCCTCCCCTGTTAGAACAGATTTCATTGGTTTCCTTTGTGCCTAGAGGAGTGCCTGGCACACAGTAGGTACTTAATATTTGTCGGATGAAAGAGAAATGAATGGATGGATGCAGTGGCAATTAGATAAATGTTCTATTGGCATGTGTCTTACAGGCAACGTCTGAAGGCCAAGGATGCCGACTGGCCCTGGCAGGGCCTTGCTCCCCTGTCCCAGGCCTGGGAGTGGACAGACGCCTCAGTGCTCACCGGTCCTGGAGTTCCAGTGGAGTGACCGCCCACCGTCTTCCTTTCCCTCAGCCTGCAGGTAAGCACTGGTGGCTTTCAATTTGCTCTGCTATAGCTCATAAGCCGCGGTGGTTCTGCAGGCCTGAACGCTGGGCTGTTGCTCTTGGAACATTCTAGAAAGCTCACGGGCCGCAGTGAGAGATGCATGAGGTTTAACTGCATTGTTGGTGCCAGCAGGGCTTGGTGCCCCTCAGGCATGAGAATGAGAGAGCTTTGCTTTCCCATCAGCCCTTGCAGGCTGCCTCAGCGGAAATCAGCCTCACTGAGTGAGCATTCCAATGTCAAGGTCAAGTGCTTGCCTTGCCTGGTTCTGGATGGCATTCCGTGGGCCAGGCTGCTCAGTGTGCACATCCGTAAAATGGGACCCACGATATACACCTCCCACGGCGGGTGTGCGAGGAAGAAATGAGCCACGTAAACTTGGGGAATCTATAAAAGTGTCTGGTTTTATTGTTCCGGGTGGGGCGGACTCCGTAGGAAAAGCCTGCTGCTTCGTAGGATGGCGGGACGTCGTGGGGCCCTGGGAGAATTTGGTGCACTTCTGGCAAGACCCCGCGGCCCGCAAAGCCGCCTCTGCACGCATCCGGGGCTCCGGCGTGGCTCTTCTGTGACTGGAGGGTGGCCCCCCTTTTCTGTGGGGCTCCTGGGACCTCCATCTGGCGCCTTTGGAGGCGGAAATGGTGTGGGTGTGTGTCGTGAAGGGAGTGGCCGCTGCCTTTCTTAGGTTGCTGTGTTGTTCATTTGCATTTCCTGGCGAGCTGAGCGGTTCTTGGCCAGCACCGGGCCTATGAAGTGCAAGCCTGCTCTTGCTCAGGGGAAGCAGCTGGTTGGCGCGAGGAGAGCCGGCCCGGAGGCTGGGGATCGGGGTCTCCTTCTCAGGGGGCCTGTCAGGAAGCCTCGCTGGGCCATCGCTGCCGTGTGTGGGGCGAGGAACTTGAAGTAGCTGGTCCCGTTCTGAGCTGGCGTCATTTTATACTTGTGACTTTAAAAAATATATGTATTTTATTGATTTCAGAAAGGAAGGCAGAGGGAGAGATGGAAACGTCCATGATGAGAGAGAATCATGGACCGGCTGCCTCCTGCAGGCCCCTCACTGGGGATTGAGCCCAAACCTGGCCTGTGCCCTGACCGGGAATTGAACCCTGACCTCCTGGTTCATAGGTCGACGCTCAACCACTGAGCCACACCGGCCGGGCTATACTTGCGACTTTTCAGTGAGAATCATTTCAACCTCTTTTCAGGGCGTTGCTCCTTAGTCCGAATTCCTGGGGAATCTCCCCTGTGGGCACCCCAGGCCTCCTGTGTCTCAACCTGAGAGTGTTGTTCTGTCGTGGGAGAGCACTTGTGTCCCTCACAAATTCATATGTTGAAGGCCTACCCCTGAGGGCCTCAGAATGTGACTGCATATGGAAATAAGCTCTTTAAAGAAGTGATCAGGTTAAAATGAGGCTGTTAGGTGGCCCTCACCAGTCTAACTGGTGTCTTTAGGTCAGTCTGTGTTTTTGGGGGTGGGGGGTGGGAGGAAAAGAGATTTGGGCTATTGTCATGCAGGGGCAGAAGGTCAATGCTACACTAAGGTCTGTAGGGTCTTTTATTATAAAAAAATGTTTTTATTGATTTTGAGAGAGAGAGAGAGAGAGAGAGAGAGAGAGAGAGAGAGAGAAGCATCCACGAGAGAGGAATATCATTGATCTGCTGCCTCCTGCACGCCCGCAACCCGGGCATGTGCCCTGACCGGGAATTGAACCGACAACCTCCTGGTTCCTGGGTTGAAGCTCAACGGCTGAGCCACGCCGGCCGGGGTCTGCGGGGTCTTATTCTGGGCGTCGCAGACCCGGTGTGCACAGCGGAGCTGAGCGCTGTCTGCAGAGAAGCAGGTGCATCCGCGCTGGGCAGAGAAGGAGGCAAAGATTGGGCCCGGGCTGAGCGCACACAGCTTCCCTGTCGCCTCTCGCGCTCAGATGCGGGGCTGTTGGCTGCAAAGCACTGGCCTCCCGCGGAGCAGCCGGCGAGGCGAGCGGGGGCTGGGATAATGCGGTTACACGGCGCCTGAATACAAATGCTTTCATTCACGTGCAATTGCTTCAGAATGAAGGGCTGCTCGAAACCTGACCCCCAAATGGAGCATTTTGTGTTACAAACTAAAATTGCATCCCTTCGGTTCGGAGAAAAATGCATATTGCCCTCGTCTGAAATGTGGTGATAATTATATGTCACATTATTCATCCCGTGTCATTGCTGGTCACATTCAGCGTTTGGCACGGCAGCAATTTAGGGTGTACTTGAAACAAAGGCAGTCACGCAGGAGGCGCGGGTGGGGGTGCGTTCCCGGCGCAGAGGTAGCGGGTGCAGCGCGGGGAACCCGGAGGCCGCTCTCTGCGCGGATGACGCATCTGCGATTCTGAATGTTCTCTGTGTGGGAGGACCGGCGTCGACATGCTTTTTAGGGAAAGGGGAAGAGGAAAACGGGCAAAGGAAAGCGCGTGACATATACAAAGACCTCAGAGGAGGAGAGGTGCATATGTGCGTGTGCGCGCGCCCGTGTGGGTGGGAATGTGAGTGTATGTGCGTGTGTGAGTGTGTGAGAATGTGTGTGTGTGTGTTTGAGTGTTTGAGAGTGTGAGAAGGTGTGTGTGTGAGAGTGTGGGAGAGTGTGAGAGTGTGTGTGAGTGTGTGGGTGTGTATGTGAGTGTGTGTGAGAATGCATGTGTAAGAGTGTGTGTGAGAATGTGCATGTGTGTGAGAGTGTGTGAGAATGTGTGTGTATGTGCGTGTATGTGCATGTGTGAGTGTGTATGTGGGTGTGTGTGAGAATGTGCATGTGTAAGAGTATGTGTGAGAATGTGCGTATGTGTGTGTGTGTGTGTGTGTGTGTGTGTGTGTGTGAGAGAGAGAGAGAGTGAGAGTGTGTGTGTGCGTGTGGCCAGCAAAGACAGGGTGACTTGCTCTGGCCTGAGGTGCCTCAGGGGAGGGGCATTAGCTATCGGTGCAGCAGGATTAGGGCTTTTGTTATGAGCTGTGTTAATTATCTGTTGCTGCATAACAAATTACCCCCAAACTTAGCAGCTTAAAACAACAGACATTTATTATCTCGCACGGTTTCTCGGGGCCCAGCGAGGCTTAGCTGGGTGGCTGCGGCTCGAGTCTGTCAGGAAATGCAGTCCAGATGTCAGCGGGCCGCAGCCTCAGCCGCCGGGGCTGGGAGACCCGCTTCCAAAATGGCTCACACACGTGGTTGCTGGCAGGAGGCCTCAGAAGATGCATGTCCGAGCTCACTCAGTGGCTCTGCCAGGCTGTGGTGCCCACCACGTGGGTCTGTCCATAGGCTGCCGGGTCCGTGTTGACCTGATGGGGGGAGCGAGGAGGGAGCCAGAGCCACACATGGAAGTCACAGCCTGTCTGTAACCTGAGCTCAGAAGTGACGCCCTAGCACTTCTGCTCGGCTCCATGTGTTAGAGGCTGCTCGCTCCATGCGGCCCACGCTCAGAGGGTGTGAGTGCCAGGAGGTGGGGACCGCTGGGGTCAGCTCAGAAGCTGCCCCCTGTGGGCCGGGTCCTGGGTCAGCCTCACCATTCTAGGAGGTTCTTGGACCTGCGGAAGTTGCCATCATTACGAACAAATGTGGAGAAAAAGCCTTCAGATGTGAGACTTGCAAGATCTCAGGGCAAAGACATAGTCTCTCAAAGAATCAGTTTCTGCCCGGCCAGTGTGGCTCAGTGGTTGAACATCGACCTATGAACCAGGTCAGGGTTTGATTCTGGTCAGGGCACAGGCCCGGGTTGTGGGCTCCATCCCCAGTGTGGGGTGTGCAGGAGGCAGCTGATCCATGACTCTCTCCTCATTGATGTTTCTGTCCCTCTCCCTTCCTCTCTGAAATCAGTAAAAAATACATCTATATAAAAAAAGAACCAGTTTCCCCATCTGTCCTGTAGGGACAGTAATACTGACCTCCCGAAGGTAGGGCTGCTTGAGTGACATAAACACTGGTGGTCTTGAGAACATGCCTGGTGTGCTGCTATCTGGCTAAGATCGGGGACCTGGGGCTTTTGTGGGGAACAGTTCCTGCTGTGGTGGGCTGTCCTGGCCACTCCGGCCTCTGGGGGCTTAAGGGTCAGAGTTGTTAAGGGGTTGCCTGCTGCCTGGTGATGCTCTGAGGGCCTCGCCAAGGAGGGAACAGACAGTGACCTGTAAACCACACCCTCTCACAGGCAGTGCTCAACCTACCCCATCTCCTCAGTCTCCACGGGGCCCCTGACTCCTACAGAGTTGGACCTCTCTCTGCTGGCCTCTTCTTTTGTGTTGTTAATCCTCACCAGAGGATATTTTTCCATTGATTTTTAGAGAGGGTGGAAGGGAGGGGCAGAGACGGAGAGAGGGAAATATCGATGTGAGAGAGACACATCGATTGGTTGCCTCCTGCATGCACCCCAAATAGGGCCAGGGATCGGACCTGCAACCGAGGTACATGCCCTGGACCGAAATCAAACCCTGGACCCTTCAGTCCGTGGGCTGATGCTCTATCCACTGAGCCACACCGGCCAGGGCTCTGTTTGCCTCTTAACAAGGCAGAATGGCTGGTAAGAAAATCCTTTTAAGAGTTTGGTACTTTCAGAATAATATTCTTGTTTCTGGTCCTGAGCATTTTATATTTCCTTTGCTCAGAAATACTATGGAATCGGAATTTCCCTTCTGTGTGAGGTCTGGGCGCCAGAAGTCTTCGGGAGAGGGAGGAAGGCCTGGTAACAGTGCGGGCAGGCATGGCAGGCACTGACCCTGGGACAGTGCCTCTGGCCTCGGGGCTGCTGCCTGCCGCCTCCCCGAGCTCCCATCATGCTCTGGGGTTCTGGGGCACACTGTCAGGGCCATGCGGAGCAAGCGGGAGGGACTGGGAGGGGGGAGAGTCCCAGCGTGCTCCCAGCTCTGTCATTTATTAGCGCCGGGCCAGACGGCGGCTCCCTCTGGACAGTGCCCTGCTCACTATCGGATCTCCAGGTTCTGGCACG